GAATCTCTCCATTGCCGTCACAAGCGCACAAAACTTCTGTTTTCTTTGGATGGAAATCCACTGATGTAACTTGAGAACTGTGTCCAGTAAATGTGTACAAACAATAGCTAGGCTACAAGGAAAAGAGAGATGATCGTCAACACAACAACCGACTGCTACCATCCATCACAGACAGATATGCTTACAAATTTAAGGATCAAGTATATAATACAATTTTCTTGATAAGGTTAAGAAATCCAACAAAGATTATTACCTGTGTTTTTTTCTGTAAACGTTATGCAGTAGAAGGTAACATTCAGTATTTAAATTAGATAGCTTTTTGTGCAGAAAAAAAAATATTCAAGTTCATGCATGAATATAGAAACAGGTAGGAACGAACAAAAATACACTAAGACTTCGTTTCGTTCTTCCTCTCCTTCTGTAAAAAATAGTTTTAGAAACAATGGTTAAGAGAATGAAGTTTTCTAATGGAGAAGCAAATATCAAAAAGCTTATCAAAACAGTAGAAAAATAAAGTTCCCTAAAAAGCATTTCTATAGAAGCGTCTCATCCAAACAGTGACCAAAAAATAATTTCGCCGTTTCTAAATTGATGAGGACATCATCAGCGATTTCGACACGTGTACCATCAGAGACGCCGGAGATCGACGGCCACGATCAGGAATTTATATTTTGAGTCATTTTATGTATATTTTTTTTTTCATTTTTTACTGTTTTACCCTTATGGGTGGTCATTTGATATTGTAGCCCCGAGGGCATTTATGTCTTTTAGTTTTTGATTCATTTTGGTCTATTTATAGGAGGCCTCATGCATTGTAGTAGGGGATGAATATTGATATGAAATTTCAACTTTTGTTTTGGATCTCTTTGTGAGTTCTAGAGTTCTCTTTGTGAGTTCTAGAGTGAGTATTAGCCTAGGAGAGGCTCAAAGCAATACCCAACAGTGAACAGCCCCTTGGTGGAGCTCTTGGTTTCTATCAAATTTCCTTCTTCTTTCTTCTCCCCTAGCCGCCGGATTTTCCCCACCACCCCACCACTTGGCCGGCAAACCGCCCGCTCCCTCCCCTTGACGTTAACCCCTGGATCACATCTCTTTCAACTCCCGTCCAGCCGCACCACCCCACCGCCGTCCGCCTGAGCCCATACCTTGACCACCGGACCCTTCCCCCTCCCACATCATTATGATGATTTCAATCATCATAATGACTCCCTAATTTGGGTTCTTGCAATAAAGGGAGAAGTTAGCAAGTTTGAAATTCAAAATTTGAAATCCAAAAACCTTCCATATTTGCAAAAGTCCAAAAAAGGAAAGATTTCGAATTTCAATCCAATTCAAATTTCATTTAGAGTGGAATTTTTAATTTCCCTCTTATTTGACCTCAACTTGTTTGGAAAGCAATTAGTTCTCCCTAAGCCCCTCTCCCTCCCTCTCAATGCCGCCGACCACTAATAGTGGGCTCCCCATTAATTCCCATTAAAAGCCCCTATCCCTAATTAATTTTATTTTATAATTTCAAATTAATTCCCTCCAAATTTACTCAAAATCTGAAATTACTTTCAGATTTGGAGTAAATCTCATTCTCTCCCCCTTATCAAACCGCCGGCCTCATGTTTGGCTCCCCCCCAATTAACCTCCCATCAATGCATTAATTGCCTATTAATTTGAAATCAAATTTCAAATTAATTCCCTCCAAAATTAATCAAAATCTGAAATCAATTTCAGTTTTGAAATAAACCCCTCCCTCCAACCCTAGCCGTCCCCTCTCTTGTGCACCCCTACCTTCTTGAGAAACCCTAGTTCTCTCATGACACTTGAAGCCAAGAGAAGAAGACAACCTCTCCTCCCAACCTCGTCATTGGTGCATGGCCAATCCGGAAGTCGACCATGGTTTCTTATTGGATGATCAAGGACGAACCAACATCCTTGAATCTCCTTCTCTTTGATGTGAACCTAGACATGGATTCCTCCGTGGAGAATACTTACATCGCATCCAGTTTACGCTAGTACCTTCCATCGATGAGCATATTCCTCCCGGACATTGGATACTCACTAGTCATCCCATGGACTCCCCGCCGCCGGCTACTTCTCCAACGGACTATACCTTGGGCACCATTTGTCTCCTAGTGACATTGCTCGGTTTGCTCTCAATCTTTCTCCGTTAAAGCCCCACCGTCAAGAGCGTGAGTGAGGGACCCAAGGTGAAAAGTTCTATTTGTTAACCGTGGATTACTGTTTCTTCACCATAACATTACACTATATTTTTATGTTGTTAAATTGATAGCATCCCTTTAATCTAATTGTAACCGCATGCCTTACATAATTTCTACTTGATAATTCTGAAAGCCTAACTTGGATGAGCATTAATTCTATAACTAGTAAAGTTTTAATATTCTTATATTAAAATCCCTAAGCAGTTCTTGTTTCCATGCATATGTTTTACATCATAAATAGAAAAAGAAAAAATGCTGAAACAAACGAGGTCTAAATCCTTGATAATGATTCCTGTTAATTTCATAAATGCTTCTGAAATCAAGAATAAGAATTTCCTAGTAACGTACTTTTGAAATGAAGAACAAAAAGACTTTTCTTAAAACATATATCCAATCCTGAAATATCTAAATATTTAAAAAAGGATGTGCGTGAAAAAGGGAGTTATGAGATCGTTTGCATAAGCATTGCTAGCACACAACTTAGACGACATATGCAGTAAAGATCAGTTGAAACCTGCCTTCATCACTTCAGATACAGCACATTGATAAGTAACGGAACCCAAATAATAGTAAATCCTAAAATAGGAGATCAGAAAATGCCAGGCAGCCATAATTCAAGGAATTCTTTTGGAGAATAATACATTTACATTATCAACGAAACAAATCCTATGTAAATGCAAATAATAACCACTATAAATAATTAAAAGCTTTTAAGAAAACGTAAGACCACCTAAAAATTCATGAAGTGTAGATATTCTATATAAATGAAAACTATTAAATGTATCAAGGATATCAATTTATGGAGATTCATAGAATAGATCATTACATCTGCTGCATTCCATAGCCGCACAGTTCTATCAAAAGAAGATGTCGCCAATTGAAATGAGGAAGGTCTGAAGCGAACATCAGTGATAATAAGTGCGTGCTCTTCTGAAGTTGTTTCTGTTTGCAGTGTATCCATGTTCCATAATACTACCTATCAAGAAGAGATAATGCAAGTAAACAACAGCTCAAAAGGTAAATAATTAGAGTACATTAACATCCATCTTAAGAGACAAATACCCAAAATATGGATTAAAAAATGCAGCAACTGAATTCTATTTTGTTAAACAGGATTAGTATTTCGTTCATACAGTTGCTCTCATTTGATATTCCCTATTATCATAAACCTTCCCCCAGAAATGTACATTCAAAATTCTGCATATAAACAAGAAACCTCTATTCACCCATATAAACTAGCTTTAAGTAAAAAAGTAAAACCTCGCAGCATCATGTTTGACTGATGACAAAGTCTAAACATTTCAAAAGCACGATGAATTAACTAAAGCATAAAGGATGTGGAATGCAAATGGAACAAGAAATGCCTTCAAATTATATATTGCAGGATAAGTTCATTATTGGACCAACTTACTAGAACAGTTGGTCAAATTGGATATTCTTACAATAACAACAAGTCTTTATCCCAATATGTGGGGTCGGAATCTTTTTTCACCATCGTGTCCTATTAAGGAGAAATTATTCTGTGTGAATGCCGAACATAGTTCACCGTCCAGAGACCAACTGAATGCGCCATGTTAGCAGTACCAAGCACGGTACCGAGCAGGAGTGACGTGGCACATTCTAGTTGGTCTCTGGGTGGCGTTCGACGCCAGCAAATAATAATTTTCCCCTATTAAGAGTCAAATTATCATTAAAATCTAATAAAGAAAGCCATTTCCAATACTCTCTAACCAAGTCTTTTTAGAAAAAATCCTATATTTCTTAACATAGGCCATATCTAATACATCAACTCTCCTAAGAGGTCATCAGTATGCCAATCTTTTATGTGACCAAACCATCTAAGGTGACTCTCTCTAATCTTAACTGCCATTGGAGCTACTCTAGCAACTTCACATATATACTCGGTTCGCATTCTGTCTCTAAGAGTAAAGCCACTCATCCACCTAACATCCTCAACTCTACAAAACTTAACTTAATTTTATGTTGCTCTTTTAATGGCCAACATTCTGCACCATAAAGCATTGCAAGTCTCACCACCATCTTATAGAACTTATTAAGTTTGAAGCGTACTTTTCTATCAAACAACAATCCCGATGCATACCTCCACTTCAACAATCCGACTTGAATTCTACTAATAATATCCACATATATTGCACCATCTAAATTGGACATTCTTAAATGGACAAAAATCTTTAACCCTAGAAATCTATTAGAAATCTACAAAACACAAAAATTTTGCACTTTACAAACTTTAAGAAAAAAATCATACAAATTTAAGATTTTCAACTGCTAGAGAACACAGAACAGAAGACATGCAAATTATTAGCAGCATTCCTCCCCAAAGAATAACTAAATAACCATTGGTGATTATCAAAATCTGCAGCACAACAAAATTTTGAGATTAAGTTTGAAAGTTCCAAATTGGTAGAAAGTTTAAAATATATGATTGTTGCGTGCTAGAAAATTTGAGTCGGTAGAATTTCTATTTTACGTCTTAGCAAAGATTCAGCACAAGCAGATAAAAATAGTAGGGCTAGAAAAAAATTTTACGTGGAAAATCCTAAAAGGGAAAAAACCACAAGGTCTGACCCAGTTGCAAAATTCATTATGCAGTAAGCGATGCAAAGAACCTCATTTCTTCACTGTTAAAGAAGAGGAAGAGTGCAAAGATCAAATGTCCACGGGTGGACGATCTATGCCCAACAACAAAGCTTAATTTTCTGAAGAGGGATTTTAGAAAACTGATGTTCATAGGCGGACAAATATACCCAACAACAGGATTAAATCCTCTTAGTATTCTCAAGAAAGTGATGATTTTTGAAGTTGGTCGTTGATGGTGAAGGTGTTTATTGGTGGCAATAGCTAGTGATGGTCGTCGACAACGATGGCTGAAAAATGCAAGAGAGCTCTCACTAGTTCTATCTTGGTCTTTTTTCCTCCTATTTTATGTGAAAAATGATGGCCTATTTATAAATTTATGGGAGTGCCATACTCCGTAAATATGAAAAAAAAATCTAGAGAAAATTAGGAGTGCTCCATCAAACGGTCAATATTAATTCTCTTAATCATAGAGCTATCATCAACATTTAAGTGCCTTAATGATGACAGAATTAAATAATCTTGGGCTCGTTGGATTTGTCTCATTGAGCCGCTTGATTCGACTATAAGCATGTCATATTTTGATATCATTTGATTATTAAATTAATGCTTTTAAGCTTTCACTTATGCTTCAACTCATTGATCCAAACCCATTTATATTCAGATAAGATCGATTTTCGAGTTGCTTTTGTACCCGGTGATTGAGAAAGGGGAATCAATGTCAAGATGAGGAAATACCTCATGACATCCAAATAATAACGCCACCGGATATGCAACGCTGATATAAGCAGACAGAAGGTTTCTAATTCATGCTTGCATCGAGATTCACGCCCGATCAAGATAATTTTTTGGTGGCATATCAATGCTAGTTTTGGGTATGATGTAGACAATATCTAAATAATATAATCATAATAACCAAAATGACATACGAAATAAGAATACAACCACCTTCAAAATTTATTATATTGGCATATCCGCTTTATTTACAGGAGAAGGGCAACCAATCAAACCTAAAATGTGAAAGTGCTTGCCTCCTAAAATAGATATTAATGGAAACAGAGTTTAAATATAATTTACTAATTATCCTTTTAAAGCTACCTTGGTTACAATTGATCGAGCAATTTTATAGGTTTAAAGTAATGCACATACAAGGCAGTTCCCAGAGATTCTAGCCGACTATGTGCTTTAAAAGAAAGATGCTTTCCCTTGTTAAAGTAATTAATGTGGTAGTATTCTTAAGAACATTACTGCATGACATGCCAGCATTGATGTAAAATAACCATCTTCATTGTAGCTTAACCCAAGAATTCAATTGGAATCTCAATGAATGAAAATATTGCTGTAAAAATAGCCATATATATATATATATATACACACACAAAGAAGTTTCACAATCATTTTTCCTACCATCAACATTACTAAGATAATATTATTTGAGTCATAGAACAGTGTTATATTGATGACATTGTCGGCCATACATAAAAGAGAATAGCCATTACATAGCAAATCATGTTTGACATAATTTATTACTATTTGTAGAAAATAAGACATCATTTTGTTGTGCTATTTATTCATTGCAAACAATTATCAGTTAGAGCAGAAGACCGATCATTCAAACCATACACGCTAAAATATATGCAACGTGAGATTTATCATTAATTATTCAAACCAGTTCTAACAATATAAGCACGCTAAAATATTATAAACGTAGCACCTTCTTTTCATGTCCAGCACTGGCAAGCAATTTCCCATCCGTAGAAAAGTGACAACAGACAACTTTGCTGTTGCTTGTACGTATGCAACCGACATCATTGAATGTAAAGGCTGAACAGAGTGCACGAAAGCATTAATAGCTACTTCACTGAAGAATGTTAATTTCAAATATGGATCCAAATGCTACCTTTAGAAGGTTCTGGATTGTGCTCTACAGGACTTCGTTTTAATGCAGCAAAAATATCTCTAGCATCTCCATCGTCATTAGAAAGAAACGACTCTACATGATCATCCAAAGAACCAACATCCGCAAAATGCTCCAAGTCATCCTGTAAAAGTTACTATTAAGACACACACACACACCTGCAATAAAAAATGGGTCCTAGTTTCCATCTTACAATTTCAAGAAAAAAGTACTATTTATAGGGATACCATTTGGTTTGAAGATGCTGCAAGCCCTGCTGTAGTATCCGTACCATACACCATTAAACCTTTTGTCAAGCTGTTTACATGCTGCATGTTTCCAGCCATTGTAACACCTTCACCTGTCGTATGTGTAGATGGTGTTGACGGTTGGGAATTGGAAGGGCCCAAAGTATTTCCTGTTCCAGTACTATTTGCAGCTCCAGATGAAGTAGGTTTTCGTTTTCTGTTGTTCTACATGAAAAAAAAAAAGAAAGAAAGAAATTTGCGGAAAAGTTCAACCAAATTATTTGAGGAAGAAGTAGATAGAACTATGTAGCATGGACATAATACTCATGTTTTAAAAAAAGAAGATAGATGATGCATTGGAGATATATCAAAAATAACATGCTCGTAGGAATAAAATATACTCATCTACTTTTATATGTAAAAAATCCTTATACATAAGCTTATTTAGATAAAAGTGCCATGCATGATTCATCGTCATCAAATCGCGAACCGTGTGCAAATATAAATAAAAAAATATATACAATATCTATGAATTAAACACACAATATAAGCAACCATATACGGACCTCAAAATTTTTAAGCAAAATATTACAACTAAAAAGTGACATGAGTATAACAAAGGCAATTTTAAGGAATAGCCAGGAAAAAAGAAAAATACAAAAGACCAAAAAAAGATAACATGAAGATCAAGGATGCCGCATCCTATGGCTCATGGAAACTATAAAAATATTCACCTTGACCGCCTTATTTGAAGCACGTGAATACATTGGAGTGGCAATAGATTTTCTTTATTCCTTCCTCACGTGGTTAAAGGAATTGGAAACATTCTATCAACTATAATATTGATGATCTACATATAAATCATGAGACTGCTGGGAATCATGATAATCGTTGTGTTCACAAATTTGAGAGAGGGCTAAATTGTTCCAAAAACAGGACGGTTAGTCTTAATTACATTGCTAGCAGATCATGAAGTGCCAGTTTCTATAGAGCTAACGACAACAAACACAATGGTCTCTAATTCAAAGGAAAGCTTAAACTATTTCCAAATTATGAATGCGAAGAATGTGAAGCAAAAAAGCACAGCACTGATGAGGGTTGTGCCCTATCTGATGCTTTCTCCTTAAAAATGGAACTTCCACTCTGAACCATTGTTGACCCGTATATGCAAAAGCACACAAAAAGGCAAAAATTGACGAGGGAATGCGTCACTTAAAGTGTCAAATGACCTCTGATTGCCAAACAGACACTGACGTTACGATCGGAGCGTCGAATTCACCTAACTGGAGATCTCTCGCAGCCAAATCAAACGAAATCGATCAAAAGAGATGACCGACACCCGAAACTAAAGCACGACATTGTCCAAGCGACGTTCGATCGTAAAACGGACTTTTCTGTTGAGATCAGAATGTTGTCAATACCCAAAATGACTATCAATTTGTTCAATTAAAGTCGTCCGGCAAAATTGACAAGAATCCCGAGGCAACGACGAGCAAATTGAGGAAATCGATGCGCGACGTAATCCGAACGACCTCCAATCGCAAAACAAACTGCGTCGTTGCAGTCAAAATGTCGACAATATCCAAAATAGACTATAATTGCATAACAGAAATCACGCACGCAAATCGGCACGAGTTTTGAGGCAATTGCGGGTAGGTCAGAGAAGTTGCACACAAATCAAGGCAATTTTGAGTATTTGACTATTTTTGCCATCTCCAAACTCAATAATAACATTAATAAAACATTATTATTCTTTTTATTATAATTATTATTTATTAAATCAATTAATAAATTCAAACAAAAAAATCAACTCAAATAAATTCTTACCTCATATCAATCGATATGCTGCTCTGACCCCATATTTTTGCTGATTTGGCGTCTAAATCCCGCAACTCAGCCTCGATCGCAACTTCGTTGTCGTTGCCCGTTGATAAAATGAAGACGAGACGGAGCACGTCTTTTTTTCTTACGCACACGAGATCGTTCGCAAACCTGGCTCTGCCCGTCTTCCCACAAACTCCCATTGATCTGTTGTCCCGTTTAAATCCAACCGCAAACCCCAACGTTCTGGCTAAATCTCCCTACACGAGCCTTCCCCTGTCTGACCCCTACCTTGCGCAAGCCGCAAGGCCCGTCAGCCACGCGATCCGGCACTAACGCCTACGATGACTTGCCCCTGATTGTTCCTCACCTCCAGTCGGCACCTTAGATCCGGTTCTTGCCTCCTATTTCAAAACCCTCTCAAGCATACTCCATCTACCTCACTTACATCCAACCATCAAATATCCCTATTCTTCCTTTAGATGTTTGTACGCCTCTAATCAAAGCACAAGCCGAGCTACTTGTACCTCCCGACCCTAAAAAAACTAAATTCGTCTGTTCTTCCACCTAGCTTGACGAATCGTAGCCCTTCCCATGTGCTGAAATCACACTTAGCTATCTCCTGCTCCAATCATTTCCTGCACTAACCCACCTTTATCTATGAGCTGATCCCAAATGCTCAACTCGACCAGCAACTTCAGCCAAATCGTAGATCTTACTCACGAGCTCCCTTCCCTTTCAGGTCGAAGATCCTTTGCCCTTACTTCACACAAAGAGGATCGGTTTTGTCCCTGTCACCCTCCTCTGCACGTGAACCTCCAAATAGCAGCCTCACTAATTATCTCACACATCCATCAATAACAACAACCCCTTTAACCCTCAAAGGCCCAAAACAGCCCATGCCACTTATCCCTCCTCTTCTCTCCAACAATCTTATAATAACCCAACATCCAAAACAAAAGCGTATTCTCCAACCAACAACCCAAAACCCTTTCAATCCACTTCAAACAGCCAACCCACTCCTCCACTAACCCAAAAAAAAAAGGTAAGCTTTTCTATTATTTATCTTTGTTTATTTTATTTTATGTTATTTTATGTTATTAACATTAACTATTGTTACTAATTATTGCAACTAATATTAGTGGTATTATTAACTTATGTTAATAATTATTTATATTGATACATTTAATTTTAAATATACGTATATGCATGTGTGTATATATATATAAGAAAGAAGGAAAAAAAAAAAAGAGAAAGGGATTTAAAAAAAAAAAGAGGAAAAAGGAGAAAAAGAAAAAAAGGGGGATTTCTTTTGTGCATTTTTCACCGACATTGCCGTCATCGATCACCTCGCTCAAGTATAATGCCATCTGAATTTAAAAAACTCCTTAAATCCTGTCTTCGACATTTGCGGTGCTCCGGGGGACCTCCTATACATGCTCTTCGTAGCGTTGTGGGAGGGAACCCAGTGCGGCGCCTGTGGCGAGACAGGTAGGCCTTGTACACGCTCTTCGTAACATGACATGGACGATTTAAGTACCCGTATATGTGCTTCAATGCCTATGAAAAAAAAACTTGTTTTCAAACAGGTACCTCGAAGACTCATGCATGCTTTTCATAGCGTGGTAGGGGTTGAAAATTTGATCTTGCGGCGTCGTCCGACACCTACCATACATGCTCTTCGTAGCGTGGTGAGAAGGTCCAGACTCTCGAATTTCCCCTAAAAGGGAGAGACGCCAGGAGGCTGCCGAAGTTTTCAAAGAATAGAAGACTTGAACTTGAACCAAATGGCGACGAACTGGACTTGAACAATCAACAGGGAAGAACTTGAACAAATATAAATAGGGAACTAGACATTAAACTGATAAATCTATAATCACATTAAAAATACAAATGCCAAATAATAATTGAATCATTCAATTAAATATCAATGTGCAAGCAAAGGATATGTGGTTTTCAATATGACTCGAATGCAAATAATGAAATTGAGGGCAATACATTATTTGCTTGCAAACAAAAGAATAAAATCCCTAAATAACATTGTAAATCACATGCATGTGGTAACAATTGACGCGTAGCATTCATGTCAATCACACAAGTACAGTGACCCTTATAAGTAAGCATTAATAAACAACAATTGCCTATGAATGATGAATGACGAAATTGAAGTCACTAATAGCATTCAACCGAACAATTAACAAATAGGAGTGAATGACACTTAAGTACAATAAATCTGCAATGTATACAAACTACTATAAGGATTTCTTCATGCATACAACAGCTGACTTACAAGTTAAATGGATGATGATAGAAGTCTTGCTTGCGGACAATGCTCCATTTACAAATGATAATGAAAAGCATACAAATGAACATTATAGATAACTAATCGCCATGCATGAGAAGGTTAGTGGTGAATGCAACAACAACCCGCAGCCAATACCAGCACACAAATAGGCATATCAAATCTTGCGAGCACTGAAAGACGTGGCAATGATAGTCATAATAAGCATAAGTAGCATGTTTATAAATGAAGTATGAAGAGTATACTAGCGGGTATAATTGCATGCTTATAGTCAATATTGACCAACATACCAATGGGTACTTCAATCTCCTATGAATGCAAGGCCAATGTGCAACGAGCATAATGACTCACCCACCAACACGCACGAAAAAAAAAAAGCAACACACGCAGTTTGATCGATAGGCAACACAAGTTTACAAATGAGCGCATAAAGTTAATATGAGCAATGATAATAGATATGTTGCAGAAGGACTACAACAAATGTAGGCACCTACAAGCCGTTGTATGAGACCCAACATGAGTTCAACATATCATCTATGAGCAAATACATGAAGAATGGCGGTAAATGCGAACTCCTACAAGAAGTATTAGAAGATCTGCATTCGACACAGTTTGCCAACATACAACAGTTGAGGGCTTATAATGCATATAACAATCCTATCTACAAACAATGATGATGAATGTATCGCCAATATGATGGATCTTCCACATGAATGACATAGGAGATCATGGTGAATGTAAATGCCTACTAGCAATACCGGAAGATTTGTCGTATGCGCAATAATATACTGCAGGCAATGATCAACGGTAGACAGTGAATGCAATACTGTCCTATATTCAACAGTCATTCAACAGTAGGAAAATGCATTGATCCCTCACAAGCAAAGATCAAGTGATCAATATGCAATGCTCATATCAATAGTACCCTGCAATTAGAAGGGGCAAATGTGTGCTGAATAATGACTTGCCGACCAACATACATAGGGAACCAGTGATGAATGTAGCTCAATTGATAGCCTACGTCAGCATGCTAACATACTAAGCTTGATTACGAATGATAATATTCCCTGCGAATGTCCACGGGCAGCAGTGATAGTAGATATTCTATAAAGATGTTGAATCCCCTGTGTAAATAGGTACGCACGCAACGTGATATTTGCGAGTGGAGAGCTATAACAGATGCAAGCTCCTACGAGCCGCTATAGGACTGTCATGTGTACAACATGATATATACAAGAAAATGCAGGAAGGATTGCAGTAGCTGCGAACACAATTGGCAATGACGAAAAATTTGTCATATGCACAGTAATATGTATGCAGGTAGTGATCAACAGGTTGTGGAGGTTGCAACACCCCTACAATCAACACCAATTGGCAATGGCTAGCAAATATGTTGATCCATTGCAAGCAAAGGAGGACGACATGCAACAAATGCAAATACCTACAAACCACTATAGGAGACCTATAATGTTCACAAAGTGCTTTCCTCGAGCAAATACAAAAGATCTTCAACAAGTACAGTCTCCTACGAGCCATAGCAGGAGATTCGTTAGTTCATGACAACCTACCTACATATAGCAATGGGCAACCCATAGTGTAATGACACGCCATCGGATCCTCAATATGCATACAAGCGGACAAAAGACGTGTGCAAATTGTCAAGTGAAGTCCTATGCATTTCTCAACAATAGCCCATCTGCATAAAATAGCAAAAACTTATGATTTAGTGTCATGCCACCGGATCTGCAACATGCATACAAGCGGACATAAAGTGTGTGCAAATTCTAAAGTGAAGTCCTGTGCATTTCTCAACAACAACCCATCTACATGAAGCAGCAAACAACTTATAATGTAGTGCCACACCACCGGATCCACAACATGCATACAAGCGGATAGATGGCGTGCGTAAATTCTCAAGTGAAGTCTTATACATTTCTCAACAATAGCCCATCTATATGAAGCAGCAAACTATGATGTAGCGCCAAGCCACCAGATCCACGACACTCATACAAGCGAACAGAAGGCGTCTATGAGCTCTCAAATAAAGAGTTTCGCGCATTCAAATGAAAGTTTCCCGCGCAACTGATTAGCGAAAAATATCCTAAAATGTCCTCTCGTACTTGCATTGCAACAGGCATATGTCATATATGCATTTTGCACTGCATGCAAGTATCTATTGCACGAATGTATTATACAAAATATATGCAAAAACATATACCCATATGGGCCCCGACGAGCGTGTCGTGTGTGTACATGCAACGTTTAAGGATGCTGCGGAGGTCAAGACATGAATCCAAGTTTGAACCCGATCCTTCTACATCATTGGATAGGAGTCGACACGGTTTGAACTATCGAACCAATAGACTATGAGGTCATACTCACCTCGATTATCATCATGTTATGACAATAGTCACAATAGTATCAGTAGTTCTTTGAAATTATCAATATCTAATTAGAATCAAATGTATGACAAAATCCAAGAAGTCTTTCCTACTTTTATGTAATAACAAATATACGGTTGCTGCATCGACTAGAATACTTATTTTATCCGTTCATATTAAGCCTTCAATGTTTATAACAAGAAAATCCACAAGTAAATGCATAAGGCCGACAACGAACCCGATCCTCTGTCAGCAATTAGATAGAATCGACAAGGTTCAACATAATAAAAATACCTCCTAAATACCCGCAAGGGCCCCGACAAGCGTGTTAGGGGTACACACATGATATCTAAGGAAGTTGCGCTGACCAAATGTTAAATTCAAGTTCGAGCCCAATCCTTCTATACAAGTAGATAGGAGTCAACGCAATTCGAACAACCAAACAAATAACGGTCATGAAGTCGACCGAGATATTTGTTTTAATGCATTCATATTAGGCCTTCGAAGCTTACAACAAGGAAAATTCACTAATAAAAGCATACATCCGACAATAAACCCGATCTTCTGTCGACAAGTAGACATAGTCGACAAGGTTCAACCGATAAAATAAAAATTGCCCATAAATACCCCGATGATGGCCATATTGACAGAAAATCTCAACCGGAGAGATTCACAAACACTTCAAAGGCCACCCAAATGCCTATAAAATTTGAAACTTCAAAAAAATATCAAAATCTAAAATATTTAAAATTAAAATTAATCATCAAAATACCTAAAGAAAAACTCATCCATCCTACACAACAGTTTGTCGAGGTGGACAATTTAAATATCACTTCAGCTTACAAAGAGTTAATGTTTTGTCAAAAATATCACTAGAATTCATTCTCAAACAGCCTACCGCCAGTAAGTACATGACATTAGTCCTCTAATCAGTGATTTGGTCGGATGGATCCACTAAGATCTCGTGGTTTGGCCAGATAGCTTCGCGTGGTCAATGATTATGACCATGACTCTCTGATCTAATGGCTTGGTCAAATGACTCCACTGTATTATAGTTATGATCATAGTCCGTATGTTCCCCAATGGCTCCAAATATTTGAGATATGAATCAACATGATATAATCGATAGGGCCTAAAGTCCTCTGTTAGCTAAGATGGATTTAAATTTATCCTCTTAGATAAATATTCACCCCAGATCTACAAGGTACTCTTGGACGAAGCAACCCATGGATGCCGAAAAGGATCCTTCTGTCAGGTTGGGTCGACTACCTCCTCTAATCAAGTAGACGGGGAACTATGAAGGCCCAGGACGACGAAACCATGGGATCTTGATCAGGCTCCTCATCATTCCCTCACCATCCACTTTAAGTGTAAGATGATGACATTTCTGATTTTAAATATTAAAATTTCAAAAAATTAAACCCATGCTGCTACTATACACAAGATATCACACATCTCTACATGTCTGCTTGACAACTAGTCTTAATCGAAAGTTATCTCTCATTATCGGGAGGGGTAATTAACTATAGGAGCTTGCGCCTATAGGAAACCTGAATCCATATCATAAAGTCCTCGCAAAATGAGGGTAAAATCTCTAGGTAGTGTCTTATTTCAAACCCAATATGCCTTCTAAAAATTTGCCTCATAACTTGCTTGTTAAAACTCTCCTCGACGACTTGATAAATGAGGAAAGAAAGGGGTCCGCGGAGAGGCTGGGGCATGAATTTTTGGAGCCCACAACCATATTCAAACCTTAATTCTCATGCACACATCATAATTTAGGTTATAATCAATCAAGTGAAACTTACATTTCTTTTTCCCAACATATTTGAAAATTACACATCCAAAATCAATCACAAAATTGCTAATCAATATTAGAAATACTAGGAAACAAAACTCATTATAGATAATGATGATTGATCAGGTATTAAACATGAAAGTGAAAAAAAATGCATAAAAGAATTCAAAAAATTAAATAATATAACATCTTTAGAAAAATTAAAACCTGACCATTTCCAGACCTATGTTGGCCATTTTAAAAAGGCAGTTTAATCAAGGTTTTAAATGGCATGGAACATAGAGAAACCGGCCAGACTATCTAAGCAATCACTCCAAAAACTATTGTATGTACTCAATGCACTGACCAGAAATCATAGCCTCTGATTATTTTAATCAATTTATAGTTGTGATGTGAATTTTAGTTCAACGGAATAAATTTCATCTACAAAATGGGAAGAACAAAATATGCCTCCACCACAGTTGGCTTTAGAATAACCAATTCACACATGTAATATTGTTTGCAAAAACATAAATAACAAAAATTAGCAAGAAACCTGTCATGGGAAAGCCAAAAAATCCTAAAATTGAAATCAAGTAACGAATCTAGGAAGTTAATCAGATTTCAATAAAACTCAATAATTTAAAGATCCAATGGTAAAGAAATTTGGATAATGAAAAAAAGGGAAGGACAAAAATTAGTTTCACCCTAGTGCGCATTAGATCGACTCTGAACATTATATTCAGTAAAAATGGTGTTAGTAAACATATACAACAACAACAACATCAAGCCTTCATCCCACTGAGTATGGTCGGCTATATGAATCTTTTTTTCTACAGTAAAAATGGTGTTAGCAAACACAGACAATTAAAATTAGTGAAATACTGTATTCAGAGGCATTAAGTCATTAATATTTCATCTTCTTAAAGTTAAAGCCTAGAATGGTATTCAACCATTCCTTTGTGGTTTAAATTTTGATATTCCAAACGGGCTATCCCTTGAAGCATCCTTGAAGTATCCCGACAGCTAATTATACAACAAGTAATGAAAAGGAGCACGTTTTCCAGAAGGGAATATACGCATAATAGCCAAAATAGTTTACCTGCTGTAATTGTTGCTGCTGCTGCAGTTGTTCCTGTGGTTGCTGAGAAGATTGCTGCATCTGGGCTGCCTTCATCTAAGTTGGGAAGAACATAGAGAAATCAAAACTAAAATCAACAGAATGTTTTTCATCATCTTCTTCTCCATAGCGAGAAATGTACAGAAAACAGTGAATTAAATGATTGTTAAAACGTGATCTGAACCTAGATTAAACCAGAATTTAAAAAAATGCATTATTTTTTTTTTCATTTAACTATAGTCGGCCTATTTTACTAAACCAGATATAATCAAATAAATCATGTAAATAACCCTAAAGTTGGCCACACGTGAGAATCTTTCTTATGTAAACTAAGAGGCAGGATGAATGAATTAGAGTGAGTTCAGCCTATTTTACTCGACCAGTTATAATCAAAATAAATCATGAAAATAACCCAAAAGTTGGCCACACATGAGAATCTTTCTTATGTAAATCAAGAGGCAGTATGAATAAATTAGAGTTCCTACAAAATATTCTAACAATATCAAGTTACAAAAGCCATACTATGGAATTAAGGTATGAAATAATCAAACATGCATAGAAATTACAAAAGCCTTCATACAACATGATGAGGACATCTACATGAGTTCTAGCGCGAGGAGACCTGCATGATCTACGGCCATGATCTACTTTTGATTTTTATTATATTTGATGTATTTTGTTTTATGTTTTATGAGTATATTGTATTTCTTTCCATGTATGCCCTTGCTTAAGGGCCTCGTCATGTGTTAGCCTTAGGGGAAATTTGGTCTTTGTATTTTCTTTATTCCTTTGGCTATTTAAGGCCTTCTCCTCTTCATGAGAGGGGGATGAATGAATATTTGAATGAAAAATTGTGTTTTTTTTTCTACTTCTTCTTGCATGAGAGCTTGAGAAGGGAGAGAGCTCAAGGGGAGCAAATCGCAAGGCCCACCAGTCGTTGAAAGAGTCCGCGGCTCGTGGTTAAGTTAGTCTATCTTCTCGTTTGTGTTTTCCTCCAACCACTTCCCCTCCACCACAAGAAAAGCCATTCAAAATCCTTGGGTTGAAACCGAGCCTAGCCTTTGCCGCCACCTCCTTGGAAGCCAGCCGCCGGCCACTCCCACGGCACCGGCCGGCCACCTTGCCGGCGACCTTCCCACACCTGTCCAACCCATCTCTCCGCAAGTTTCAAATTTGAAATTCTCTTTCCTAATTTGGAATTCCAATTTAGGAAAGTTTCCATGATAAATTCCATTTTCAAATTAATTTAAATTGGAGTCTTTAATTTCTATTTCCACATCATCGCTCCAAATTGGAAACCCTCTCCCCCCTCTTCCCATTAATCTCCCCCTCTCAACATGCCGCCGGCCCCCTTGAGGGAATCTCCCTATTGATTGCTCATTTAATGCCCCACCCTATTTGAAATTGAAATTAATTTCAAATAATTTTTCTCGTTCAGCCTATTTTTACCTCGCCAAGTTATAATCAAAAATAAAGGTCATGAAAAATAACCACAAAAGTTGCCAAAGCCATGAGAATCCTTTCTTATGTAAATCAAGAGACAGTTAAATGCAAATAAATTAAGAGTTCCTACAAAATATTCTAACGAATATCAGTTACAAAAGCCAATACTATGGAATTACAGGTATGAAATAATCAAACATGCCATAGAAATTCAAAAGCCTTTCAATACAACAACAAAAACCTGAGAGCAAGATAACAAAAGCCAATAACCGGTATCAAAATAGTCATGTGAATTGCGCTAGGGTAGGAAAACAGTATACTATAAGGAAATCACTGAAAGTTGAATCAAACTTTGGCAAATTGAAAGCACTGCATATAAGGCAGCCTCAAAACCATAGTAAAGAGCCTTTCCAGCATAGAAATTCATTGCTTTACTGATTACAAAGAGAAAATGGGTAAAGTAGTATCTAAAAGCCATGGACCATGGAAGCATTAAATATTCAGTTGAATTTATCTGATGAATAACACATCTGCAAAAGATCCAACATGTAATGACGCAGTCAATTTCTTCAGAAAAAAGAAAAAAAAAAAAAAAACATTACAAATGCAAGAGGTACACACAAAAAATAATCTGAAGAAATTCCACAATGTCTGAATCTGCTAATTCTCAAACAATAAGAACATATGCATACATACCCTTCATAAGCATATTCAGCTTGATCTGGTCTGACTTTTGGAACTTGCTTGGCATAGGGAACCTACCAGGCCAATCAGTTACAGCAGGTTGACCATCTTTTCCATATCAAGTTTTCCCCTGGGTAACCTCTTAATCTTCGTGATCCATATCTCCATAATTAGGAGTATTTCCAGATTACCTTGAGCCTGGCTTGGGCAGGTATTGTTGTTGCTGTTGCGGAGACAAAAGCCGAAATTGAGACTGTGTTGATAGGAAAGGCTTCTGGGCATTTGTGGATTTAAATTTGGGGCGCATTTGATCTATTCCTAAGAAAGAAAATAAGTGAAATAGATAAATTAAAGCAAATGGTATGATGCTCTAGTTAAAAAGGGAAAATAGAACGCTTTTCTTACAGACCAAAAACAAAAGTCTCTGCCACGAATAAAATATGACTTCCATTAAAAATAAAATTGAACGAAAGTGGTTCTCTACACAAACTTAGCAGTCAAAGGCCACCCTTCAAAAGGAAACGCACCTAAACGGCCTTGATTCAAACCCTGCAATAGTGAGGCCGCATATGATCAAAATCAAACGTTTATAGAAAATAATTATTTCCTACTACAAGAAGTTTCTGTCATCATTTATGATTTTACAAAGACCGAGAAAAAGAATACCAAAATCAGTTATACTCAATATTATAATGGCCAACATTTTAGAAAAGTGCGATCACGCTCTTAAATAAACATTATGTAAAAGAGCATGTTTAGGAAAAATTTTAAAAAGGAGCAAATACGTTATAAAATATTTGGCGGCATTCTAAATGCGCCAAAAATTTGGGATGCATTCTAAATACGCCAACTCTAAATTGGCATTATTTGCCAGGAGAGAGAAAAAAAAAAGGAGTAGAAAGAGAGAGAGCGAGGTAGGAAGGAGATACATTATTTAGTTTAATTTTATTTTCCTTCATGGCATGGAGAAAGAGGAGAAGAGAGGAGACGAGAAAGAGAGAAAGAGAGCCGGCAGGCAAGAGGTAGAGTGACAAAAAATGAATGGAGAGGAAAAACTGACTGGAGAGGAGAGAGAGAGTTTTAAGTGGAGGAGAGAGAGTATATTAATTAAAATAAGAGTAAATAATTTTAAATATTCTTAAATAATAATTACAATTAAGTTTGTCTTGAATTTGATTAAAAATATTTCAAATACCATGACAAATATTTATGAATAAAGAAATTCTTTTCAATATTTGAAATTTGTATAAATTTTGATAATTAGAAAACACAAATATAAAAAAAAAATATTATTTTATCAAATAGAAGACAGAAAATATCTCTCTCGGCTTTTTTTTTTTACTTTTTAATTTTTTATATATAATTTCAATGATAAATGATATTAACCTTTTTTTTATACTAAAGATATATTAATTTTAATTTTGTAATTTTCTATTTTGATTATTTCATACTCGAACATATCTTTTTATCATATTTTCAAAAAAGCACTGAGAAGAGATTTTTTTTATATAGAAAAAAACTACTCAATCTAATTGAAATTGATAGAAAGGAGCTTTTAAAATAAAATTAAAAAGTAAAAAACGAGAGAGATAGTTTAGTTCTATTGATAATAACTTTTTTTTTTTTACTTTTGGCGTTCTCTAAATTATAATTTATATACATTTCAAATTTGAAAGAATTTCTTTAATTCATAAGTATTTTTGTATATTTAAAAATATTTTTATCAAATTCAACGACAATCATTGTAATTATAATTTAAATATTAATTAAATATTAATTTAACTCTATTTTAATTAATATACTCTCTCTCCCAGCTTTAACTCTCTCCTCCAATCAGTTTTTTCACTCTCTTCCTGCCGACTCTCTCTTTCTCTCTCCGCCTCTCTCTCCTCCTTTCTCCATGCATAAAGGAAAATAAAGAAAACTAATAATGTATCTCACTTCCTACCGCCGCTTCTTCTTCTACTCCTTTTCTTTTTCTCTCTCCTGGCAAATACCGCCAATTAGGTTGGCATATTTAGAATGGGCGTCCAAATATTTGGGCATGTTAGAATCCGCCCAAAAAAAAAAATTTCAACGTATTTGCTCCTTTTTCAATTTTTTTTCCTACCACATGCTCCTTTTACATTAATGTTATTTAAAGCGTGCTCCTTTCCTAAAATTTGGGCCTATTATAATTTGTTATAAATGTGTGAAATTAGAGCAATGAAATTGTAGATGGCCTGGAATGAGGCCGGGAAACTCGGACATCAGATCAATAAAAAGTCCTTTCAGAGACGTGGCCGACGATCTAGGACGCACGATCGGCGCCATCTATTTTTATCAATTGCATTTGTTTTATTTGTTTGCATTATTATTTGTTTTATTAGCATTTCCCACGTTTTACCTTTTCTTAAGGTTTTGTCATAATGTAACCTATGGGGCAATGTTGTTCTTTTACTTCCCTTTCATTGTATGAGCTATATATAAGCCCCTTGTGTTTTTTTTTTTGAATGTTATGAATGAATGTTAATGAAAATTTCTGCACCCTTTTGGTGTTTGTGTGAGAGTTTGAAGAGCTTTGGAGAGGAAGTCCCTAGAAGAGGAAACGGATCACAATCAACCTTGAAGCCGTCAGGGTTCGTCCGGCATTTTTCTTCCTATCTTTTAAATTTTCTCCTTCACCTCCCCTACGCTAATCCGTCGGCCTAGGATTTCCATACCACCTTAGCCGTCTGCCACCATCCAACCTCCACGCCTCTCATTTTAGCCACCGGCCAACAAGAACCACCATCTCTCTAACCGCCAGCCCGGCCGCCGCCCGGCGCCCCGCGCCGCCCCACCGGCCCCGCCCCCCGCGGCGGCCGCCCGCGCCGCCCGCGCAAATGCCGCGCCCCCGCCCGCTCCCCCACCGCCCGCGCGCCCCCCGCCCCCGCCGGCCGCGCCGCGCCCTCGCGGCGCCGCCGCCCTCCCGGCGCCCGCCCCGCCCCGCGCGCCCGCCGCGGGCCGCCCGCCCGCGCCGGCGCCCCCGCGCGCCGGCGCCGCGCCCGGCCCCCCCGCCGCCGCCCGCCGCCCGCCGCCCCGCCGCCGCCCCCGGCCCCCGGCGCCGCGGCCCCCGGCGCAGCCAGCCCCGACATCCCCCCTCCCCCTACTACCCCTTCTTGCGGCCAATCCCCACGTCCCCGCCCCCTTGTCTACGCGCCACCTATTTTTCCCGCTCTCCGCACTAAGTTTCAAAATTAACCTTCCATAATCCCATTCCAAATTATGGTGTTTTAAATTAAGGAATTTTCTGAATTTCAAATTTGAATAAATTTAAATTTTGAATTCTTTCTTAAATAAGTACTCCATATTAGGAAACTTCCCTAAATCTCTTCCAAACCTAAAATAATTGAGGATCTAATTAATTTCTTATTTCCTTATCCCTTTACCCTATAGTTGTGGAAAGATTGCAAAAGGACCCGCTCCCCTTTCTAAGCATGTCGCCAGCCCGCCTCCTTGTTCTCTCTCTCTCTCTTTCGCAAATATATCCCACACCATAATAAATCCAATCAATTCCTAAATATCCAGCTGCCCCGCCCTATTTTCTTTATTGATTGGGAGTATGAAATTTACATCTCTCCTCCCCAATTCCTCATTCCTTAATCTGAAATAATTTCCAGATTTGGAATGTAATTCCTAAGATTACCAAGCGCTAAAATCTGAGAACAGAATTTCTCTTACCCCTTCCGCCTAAGCCGGCACCCTTTCCCTCCTCCCTCCACTTGATCCTAACTCTCCAAAACTTCATCCCCTTTTGGGTGTGAGGATTATTTCCTAAGCCTCCTTGCTGTCAGAAAATTCTGGCAAGAACAAGCTACTGTCCTCCTCCTAAGACTTGAAAATTGCTGTCCCAGTTTTCCTCTGCTGTCCAAGGGTTCCAGCAGAGATTTGTTGCTGGCCACAGCCCTCCTAAGAGCCAAAGCTGCTGTCTAGGAAATTTTTGGCAAAGACAACTACTGTCCAGGAAATTGCAAGACATGTCTCTGGGCTCTCCAGAAACCTCCTACTTTGCTGTCCCGAAGGTTTCCATCTTGCTGCCCAAAGATTCTAGCAGGCTTCTAGTGCTGTTTCGAACCTGGGAGACTCCCATTCGCTGCCAGAAACCCCACAGGCTGTCCCACACGCAGGACTTCAATCAAGATCAGCCGCCACACCTTCGGGAACTTCCTCCTCGCACCTCAAACCAGAACTAAGAACTTGACAACAGGTCGAACTCTTCCCCAAGTTTCCTATCTTCCTATTTACTTTCAATTGTGGTTATATTTTGGTTCACGAAAGATCATTGTTTATTCTCCTCTCGCTAAAGCTTAGTGATCTAGAGAGTGGAGTGAGGGATCCTTGCATAGTGACTAGTCTTATTGTTAGCATAGGGATTTTCTCGTTGAAAACTTCCCAGTATGCAACGTTAAGAGTAATTGACTGTTATTACGATCTTAACTTCTACGCAATGTGATTTGGCCTAAGCTTGTGATTAATGCCTCATTGTTTTATTTATTGTTTAAAACAACATATGTTTTAATTAATATTGCTCTCTAAAATTCAAGCGTGACAAATCCTAAATCAATACCATTAAACATTCGTAGTCCTGCATCAGAGCCTCTGGTTTATAATGCTTTCTACTGTTTTGCTTCTACCATTCCAGGAATAGTTTTTTAGATTTTGCTAAAAAGTATATACAGTTTTATGCAAAGCAATTGTAGGCTCTGTTTTGTAATGCTTTCTATTGTTTGCTTCTACCATTCCAGGAATAGTTTTTTAGGTGTTCGCCAAAAAGTATATCAGTTTGTGTAAGTAAATATATTATTATATATTTATATATAATATATATTATATAGTATATATAATATATATAATATTAG